CAAGAGATTTCAACCAAATAGCCAATATTTCAATATTTAAAAGAGCTTTAGAATTTGATTCCTGGTACCAAAAAAAAAAAAAAAAGAAAGAAAGAAAGAAAGAAAGAAAAAAGCTTTATACTGGATTGGGCACACGCCTGTGGTCCAAGCACTTGGGAGGCTGAGACAGGAGGCTCACGGCAGGGTTGAGGCCAGCCTGGGCTACAAAGTGAGTTCAAGAACATCCTGAACTACACAGCAAGACCCTGTCTCAAAAAGACCAAAAACAAAACAAACAAAAAAAACCCTAAAACGCTCCATACTATTTACAAAAGCAATACAATCTTTCTTTAAAATATATGTATTGCACTATTTTGACTACAATAGCTTTATGATGTTATTCATTTTTATTTATTTATTTATTTGGAGACAGGGTCTTGCTATGTAGTTCCAGCTGGCCTCCAACTTGTGGCAATCCTCCTGCTTCAGCCTCCTAAGTACTGGGATTATAGATGTGCACCACCATGCTTGACTATGTCTTGAAATTAGGTAATTGGAATCTTCCAACTTTGTTCTTTTACCTTCAAGATTGTTTTGGTTATTCTAAATACTTGGCAGTTCCATGGCTCTCAAGATTATTTCAGCTATTCTGGATACATGGCAGATTCACCTTGCTGATTTCACAACAATGCCGCCTGGGGATGCCCTGTATCTATAAAGTGACTTGGACAGAAACAACACCTTAACAAGAGTCTTCCAATCCATGAGCATAGTATATCTCTCAATTTATTTGGTTCTCTAACTGTTCTCAGAAATGTTCTGAGCTGGAAATGTAACTCAGCAGTATGGTAACTGCCTAGTATGTGTAAGGCCCTGGGTTTGATTCCCAGTACTGCAAAAAAGAAAAAAATGTTTCATAGTTTTCAGTGCAGAAGTCCTACATGTCTTTTGTTAAGTATTTTTTAAAATGTTACTGGTTCTTTTGTTTGTTTGTTTTGTTTTTTGTTTTTGAGACAGGGTCTCTCTATGCAGTTCAGGCTGGCCTTGAGCTCACTTTGTAACTCAGGCTGGCTTTGAATTAGCAATGATCCTCCATCCTCCTGCCTCAACTTCCTGAGTGCTGGGACTACAGGTATGCACCACCACACCTGGGAGTAAAATGCTACTGAAATGGTACTGCTCTTTTAATTTCCATTTCTAATTGTGTATTATTGGATAAACAGACTGGCCTTGACCTCCTGGGCTCAACTGATCCTCTGCAGTACTCTCTCAGGTGTCTGGGACTATAGGTACATGCCACATCTGCTGCAAATCACTTTTATATGTTGACCTGTACCCTGTGGTCTTACTAAACTCCTCTATTAGGTCTAGCAGCTTTTTTTGGTCAATTCTTTGGGATTTTTTTCCCCCAATTCTTTGGGATTTCCTATCTGTGACAGATATCCATATCATATTTGAGTAAAAATAGTTTTACTTATTCCTTTCTAATACATATGTCCTTGACTTCCTTTTTATGACCTAACTGCACTTGCTAGGACCTCCAATACAATGTTGGATAAAAGTGGTGAGAAGAGACATTCTTTCCCTGTTGCTGATTTGATTAGTACAACATCTAGTCTTTCATCATTAATTAATGTCAGCAGTAGGGACTGTTCAAATATGTCCTTTATCAGTTTGACAGAAGTTCCCTTTTCTTTATCACTTGCTTAGACTTTTAAAAAATTGTAATTGAGCATAGAATTTTATTAAGTGTTTTTTCTGCATGAAACATGTTTTATCTTATTGTTAATGTACCAGATTATAGAGATTTATTTCTAACTGTCAGACTAACCTTAAAGTTCTGAGAAAAATTCTACTTGATCATGGTAATTATCATTTTTATATACTGCTAGAATTGATTTATTAAGTTTTTAAAAAGATTTTTGCATCTATATTAATGACGAAATTGATCCCTAATTTACTTTTGTTGTAATGTGTTTGTCAAGTTTTGGTAATAGGTGAGCCGGCTTCATAAAATGAGTTGGGCAAGTCTCTCTCTATTTTCTGAAAGAGTTGGTATAAAATGATCATTTTGCTTTCCATCAATTTATGTATTTGTATTTAAAGTGCTTCCCATACAGACAGCATATGACTGAGTATTGCTGTTCTATCCAGTTTGAAGTATCTTCCTTTTATTTATTTATTTATTTTCCAGGACTCAGAGGTAATATAATAACACAACACAAAGAATGGGGGAGCTCATGCAATTGTACCATTGAAAGATTTCCATATTTTACATTAAATAGTATAATATTAACTATCATTAGTTCATATTAGTTGAACGTGTATAGTCACTTTAAAAAGGAAACTGAAAGAGCTAAATTTTTGAGGAATTAATATGGAATACTAAAATATATATTTAATATAAAAGAGGGGAAAAAGGGATAAAACAAATAGCAAAATTGGAGACCTAAATCCATCCATTTTAGCAATAACATTAAACGTAAATGAAATCAACATTCCAATTAAAAGGAAGATACAGGCTGGGGATATAGCTCAGTGGCACAGCACCTGCCTGGCAAGCACAAGGTCCTGAGTTTGAGTCCTGGAAAATAAATAAATAACCGTCTTTTCCTCTCCTTTCTTGGTCACATTAATCATTATTATTTAAAGTACCTACCTATAACTTCAGAACCTAGATTACTTGTAGATTTGTTTCTGTTACCCTCTGCCTGTTGTATCTGGTAACTTTTTGTTGAATGCTACCTTTTTTGTGTGTAAAATTATAGAAGTTCTCAAGAAAGGGCTAACTTATCTTCTAAAAGGCAGGTGGAATACAAACCATCACTTTGGCTCAGGCGGAGCTAGGTTTCCGTATTTGTGAGGGCTGTGTTAGCTCTGGTTTGTCCCTACTCCCAGTGCTGATCTTGACGTACAGCCTGTCAGAAGTCCCAGCTCAAAGCCTGGAGTATTACTAGGGTTTCTACAGCTTGACAGACTCTGAGTTCCAACATTGGTCTCTGAGTATCATAAGATTGTCAGAATCTCTGCTTAACTTGTCGCCCTCTTAGAAGCTGTTTCGTATTTAGTTTCTTGGCTTCGCATCTGGAACATCGGCGGTGTCACAGTACGTAATTACATAAAGACTTCTAGAATTTCTTTTATGTGATTCCCTATCATCTAGAATACTGATCCTTTGAGACCTTGATATTTGGGAAGCCCCAAACTGCAAGTCTGTTTCCCAAGCCAGATGAAACTGGAAAACCCAGGCCTCTGATCAAAGCGGGGGACTGAGGTGAAAGGGGGGCTTGCTCTTCTTGACTTAGTCACTTTCTCGTCCCTGAGACAAAATAACCAGCGCCACAACCTAAGGAGGAGAGGGTTATCTGGGCTCATGTTTTCAGTCCGTGGTCCATGGCAGAGAGAAGCTCTCATGTCACGGCTGTCAGAAAGCGGAGAACTAAAGGAGAAGTCAGGGACAAGAATACTCTCACAAGCCAGGTGTGGTAGCACACACTGTAATCCCAACACTCTGGGAGGCTGAGGCAAGAGGATCTCAAGTTTGAGCCCCACCTGGGCCATTTAGCAACTTAGACACTGTCTCAAAAAACAAAACAAAAACCAAAAAACTAAAAAACTTATACGCTTCCAGGTCACACCCCCAGAGGCCTACCTCTTCTGACTAGGCCCAGGCCCACTCTGAACAGCACATTTAGCTATGAGCCTGTCAGTGGGTTGATCTGATGTTGAATCTAGACACCCGTGACCCAATCACCCTCCGAAAATCCCCTTCTGAACACATGAGATTCTGAGGGGGCTTCTAGATCTAAACTACAGCACGTCTCATGTCCTTCTCCCGGGGGTCTTGTGTCACTATGCGTTTTCTAACTTGCTTGCCTTATGATGACTTACACTAGCTCTTTGCAGCCAACATGCAAAAGTCTTTCTGCCAACTGGTTTTATAGGAACTTCTTGCTGACTTCTACTGAGAATACTTAGTGTGGAGAGAGTGGCCAAAAAATATTTTCAGTTATCTTTTTGTGGTATTTATGAAAGAAATGAATCAAAAATAACAACTTCCCAAAGGCTAGCCGAACATAGAAGCCTTCACAGCTCTCATAACTGGCACCGATTGATTCCCACATCAGCAGTCTCAGCGCAAAAGTTAATTTGGTGACAAAACTAAGAGTCAGTTCTACTACTGTCTAGGCTATTCAGTATCAAATGCTCTCAAAGGAGCAACAGGAGAATCTTTTATTGTTCACTGACCTTAATAGAACCAAGGTAAATTTCTTTAACCTCAACGTGATGGTTCCCACTATTTATATTTATCTGTACTTTTGATCCTTGTTTGGGGCAACTTAAAAGGTTTATATTGAAAGCTTTGAATTTATATGAGTTGGTAAACATCATCATACATAAGAACCAATAAACCACTTACTTAGTCTTTGAAAAATACATGAACAAACAAGTTATTATTTATGCCCTAATTAACTTTAAAGAAGAAAGCATAATTATATAAGGCAGGATTTAATAACCAACAGCTAACAACCTGGAATCCCAAATGGTTTATCGTTTATCACTAGCTTAAACAATATCGCAACTTTCTTAATGTTTTATAAAGACAGAGAAAGGATACAATTCTTTGATCCTTTTGGGCAATCAATACCCAAAAAGAACACACATACATGTGTATATATACCAATATACATAATAACCAATCCTTTTCACACAATCTTTTAATAAGTAACCTAAATAAAAGGAAGTGCTCAGTTAATGCTAGTTCCTTCTAATTTGGTTAGCACCAAAATTATTCAGAACTCACGGCAATATGTTCAATTAATACTTGGTAATACACAGTGATAAATTACCTATTAGTCCTTTAATAAAGGGAAACTTTCCCAACTGAAAAGTACCCTGATGGCAGGTACATTTTAATCTCACTGATGAAGGAGATTAAATGCACACACAAGAGAGACAGCAGAGAAAAATAAAAGATGAATGTTTCAAAGAGTACATCTTTGTTTTGAGGGGAGACTCACCCCGTGTGGTTAAGGTCTTAAGGTCTTCAGTATCCATCTGAACAATGCTGGTTTGTGTTGGCTTCTGAAGGTCCTCACCGATTACAATCTCCTTTACTGGCTTAACTGTTTTGAAAGAGGGAGAGACATAGAGTGTCTCTACAGAAGACTGGTTATAGAAAGTAGACTCTGGTTTTGATATCCTTAAATTGGGGCTGATAAATTCTTCTTTACTTGATGACCAACATGCTGGTAAAGTTGTCAACATTTCAGCACTGTTTATGGTTTCTTGCTTTCCCTGCGGTGTTTGCAAGGGGTTTTCTATTACTGTATTTGAAATAGTATTCTCTGATTCCTTGTCCAAACTCAGATTTGTCTGCAGAGAGGGACTTTTTTCTGAGGAGGTAGGCATAGCATCTGTAAAGTAACAAATAAAAGCTACGATAAAACGTGAAAATATTCTATTTTAAATCCATTGCAATTTTAATAAATAGGATTTTAATGCCATAACAGAATTCTTTCCTATTTAGTTCTTCTGCTTTCTTACTATGCTTCTACATTCTATTTAAAGTACACTCAAGCTATAATTGGTGCCTTAGTCATTTGGTGGATGCCTTCTCCCTTTCTCCTCAAACACAAGGCAAGGAAAGCTTCAAATAACTTGTCTTTAAATATTTCTCCCTTCACCTACTTATCTGTCTCTGAAACCACTGTATTTTTAGTGCCTTCAAACTTTCATCTTTCATGAAATAAACTAGGGAAAATGTGCCACATCATACTGGTCTATCCTTATAGGACCTGTAGCTATAAAAATTTCTTTTTCCTCTGAAATAAAAAATGCCTTCTCCCTAGTACCTATGAAAGACACACTAAAGAAACTCAGTACTTTAGCAGCATAATTTTAATAAGTCCTTTGTCTACATGGTAAAAAAGAAAAACCTTTCTGAGCTATTCTGACAATGACTAAAACATAAATTCCATTAAGTTAGGGATCTGTCCATTCTAGTCAATACCACCAAAGAACCTAGAATAGAGCTTGGAACATAATAGACACACAACTTTTATTACAAATAGAAGACACTTAAGGAATTGTATGGAGATGAAATTTAAGGTGGATCTGATCTAGGAATGTGGGGTTTTTTTTGGTCTTTTTGAGACAGGGTCTCGCTATGCAGTTCAAGCTAGCCTTGAGCTCACTTTGTAGCCCAGGCTGGTCTTGGACTAGCAATGATCCTCCTGCCTCAGCCTCCTGAGTGCTGGGATTACAGGCATATGCCACCATGCCAGGCTGATCTAGGAGTGTGAGGTATCTACTAAACCCATGAATTATGGGCCTAGTCTGAATTTTACATGCAAATTACTATCAATACTCAATGCTAGGGCTTGCTCTCAGTGAGTTTCATATGAATCTGGATATAAAGAGAAAGAAAACTATTTTTAAGAGATTGAGTTAGTGAAATCAAAAGCATAACTAGGTGAGGGAGGGCAGAAAGAGGATGATACAATTTGAAACTCCCAAAAGGGACGAGGATGCAGAGATCATGCAATTCATTATCACAATGTACATCACAACATACTCATAGTGCACATTTATATGCTCCCATCATCACTTTTAGGCTCTGGGTTATAAAAGCAAAAACAGATTTTCTTTGACACTACAATTCTTTCTAGGGCTAGGGATTTAGCTCAGCGGCACAGCGCCTGCCTGGCAAGCGTGAGGTTGTGAGTTTGATTCCCGGTACCAGAAAAAAACCAAAAAAAAAAATTCTTTCTATTTCCATCCATAGATGGAGGCTAGAAAAAAGTTGCTGGTATAAACTGAGAATAATACAATTCAAGAAACTTACGTGGGTATGTATCTCCACTAGGAAGTCTATGCTTTTTCAGTGTCCCTCATAAAACTCAATTCAAGTATCACTTTTTCTATAAATCCTGCCTGGCCCTTTTCTCTCCTTGCTCTAACGTATTACTGCCCATCACACCATATCCTGCCCAGAGCCTGTGAGTAATGAGAACTCTTCATTCACTGCCAGTCTTCCCCTGACAGCAGTCTCTCAAGCAGACCTTGTATTAGTTGTCTTTGGATCCCAACACATAACAGTGCCAGTCTTAGCTGAGTTGCTCAGTGCTTGTGGGGTGAAAGTATAACTGAGGCACAAGAATTACAAAAAAAGTAATGCATGTGTTTTTCTAAATTGAATACAGGTGAATGACTTAATAGTGATTAAAGGAAACTGAAAAGTGGTAAATGAAAATAACTGCTTCTAAAATATTCCTAGTTTGAATATGGCCCAGTTATATTTAGTTGGTAAAGGTTCTGTTAAAAATGCTAATATAGTCCTAGTAGAAACTAGATTTATGGTATTCCAGAGTACATGTGTATATCACCATATTTACATATAAGCATTCACTATTTAAAAGCGAAATTTCATTTAATATTTTTTCCACAAGCTTTCATTTTACATGTGAGAAAAACAAAAAAAGTTCTGCAATAAAATCATGTAAAATTTAGCAATATGTAACTAGGACAATTCAGAATGACTGACTTCCTGGTGAAAATATTCATAAGAACACTCAAAACTTGGTACAAAAACATGAAATTTAAAACTAAACACCAACCTTAAGATTCAATGAAACCAGCCAGATCAAAGTCATTCTATCAACCCTCTCTTCAAATAGTCCAGGAATACTAGCCTGTGATCTTTTGGTTGGTGAAGACTTTTGTTAAAACTTGTAACTTTTGCTGGTTTTTAATTTTGAGATAGGGTCTTGGTTGCTATGTTGCCTGTCTGGACTCAAACTCTTAGGTTCAAATGTCCCTCTCAACTCAGCCTCCTGAGTGGCTAGGACTACAGGCATGTACCTCTGTGCTCGGCAAAACTCGGCACTTTTTAAATAAATCAAATACCATGATCTAAAAGAAGTCTGCTGATAAATTCATTACATCTTCACAATACTTTATCTTAAAGAGAAAAATGTTTAAACAGAAAGCTGAGAGTCTTAAGATCCTAGAGGGGGCTGGGGATTTAGCTCAGCGGCAAAGCATCTGCCTGACAAGCGCAAGGTCGTGAGTTCGGTTCCCGGTACCGGAGAAAAACCAAAACAAGATCCTAGAAAGCACGGTGGGCTAGGTTCCCTGGCCATCAATGCTGCTGCACCCCTGCTCATTCTATGCAACATGCCAAGTTCACCCTCTTCAATCACTACTTCAGTTATTTTTAGTTTATATTCAAAAGCCCTTTAAAAACTCCCTCTGTGTCAGTGACAAAATCCAATTCCTGCACATCTGCTGCTGCTACCCCACAGGAGGCAGCCCAGGCATCCTCCTCACTCACACCCTCTCGAGCATCAGGCCCCTGTGCGCATTCTCTTGCTAATGCAGGTCTCCGGATCCCCACACACTGATCTCTCCCCCTGCATGCCCACCCTGGAACACATCCCTTTTCCCCACCTATTTAAATCCCGCCAAAATCACAAGTCCCATCTCAAGTACTACATTTACAAGCGCTTTCCAGCAGCCCACACTCCATCTCATTGTACCTTTCTCCGAGATAACACTATCTGCTACAAGATGGATCCATTTATTCTCTCCCCCAAGCCCCACAGAAAAGACAAAAGGAGGAATTAAAAGTATAAACCTACAAGAGAAAATAGAATAAAAGAGCAGAGAGGGCAATAAAAGATAGGATAGGCTAACAAGGTATCAGAAAAGGAAATGCTGAGGAAGGAGTAGAAGCTGCAAAATCCCTAAATGCCCGGAGAAGGGGAGCCAATGTGAAGGAAGCCAGTCCTCACACACAACTCCAGAAAGTTGTAGGAACTGGAGAAGCAGTTCCTTGGAAATCACTTTGTGGCTTTATTTTGGGCAGATCATCACTTGCATGAAAGATAGCTGTGTCTTGTCAGGCAGAAAAAGATTATTTCTGCTGCCTGGGTATTCAAGCACATGACTAAGAATGTGTATGAATACTGAGCGGCCAGTGTATGAGCTACAGTTATTAAGCTACTGTCTTTTAGCTTCATACCCACACCCTTCTATGCTCTGTTTTTGTGATACTGGGGTCGGGCCCCACAAACTACATTCATACTTTGCTTGCTCATTTATTTTGTCAGATTGTGCCAACAAAGGGTGCCAGACACAGAGTGGAAGGCTAGAGAAGAAAGGAGCTGTGTCTTTGTCTCCTTCAAGGTTAAGAGCTTTACCCTTGGGACAGTCCTTCCCTCCACCAGCAGTGTTCTTTCCATTTTGCATTTTCTAACACTTTTAGAAGCAGTTTATAGACCTCCTTAGTAACATTAATTCCAGCCTCCCTGAAGCTTCTAAATTTTAATAATTCCAACCTCTTCTTTTTTGCCCCCCTTGGCTCAGAGCTAGTAGCTTATTCCTGCAGCTGCTTCCTCCATAGTATGTCGGTGTTCTCGTTTTGCTTTTTGAGTTTTCAATACCTAACCAACAGCCTTTATATTAAATTCTATTATATTTTATGTCAGTTGCAGAGTAATTTCTATTGGGACAATTCTCCTGTAGCTACCACCTAGAATCTCTAGACAATATACAAATAACCGGTATCTCCAAGTTGAGAAGAGTGACCAAAAGCAGGCAGAAACTGGAGGGCTCAAGACTGGGAAGAAAGAAGAGCACTGAATGAGCTGCCTGTTTTTTCCAACTCATCACTGGGGTTCCAGTGAACTCTACACTAGGAGGCTAAGACTGGCTATACTAGTCTTACTGAACTGGAGAAGGAGAGGACAAGGCTTCAAGCTACCACAGCACTGGAGAGAGGTGAGGATCCTGGTAAGGAACACAGAAAACCACTTATTACCATCACGGGCAAACTGCTGATAACTAAACATAACAGAGAGGATCTCAGAAGTAACCAGAGAAAGATGATACTTAGGCTGGCATGGTGGCACAAGCCTGGAGTCCCGGTCCTCTGGGAGGCTAAGGTATGAGGATTACAAATTCAGGCCCAGCCTGGGCAATCTAGTGACTTAGATCTTGTCTCAAAAATAAAAACATATAGTGCTGGGGATGTAGCTCAATGCAAAGGCCCTGGGTTCAATGCTCAGCACCGGGGTGGGGCTGGGGTGACATTTTACACACGAGGGAATGAGGTGAATGATGGCTGAATTCTCATCAGAAATAATGGAGGCTAGAAAACAGTAGAAAGCATCTTTTAAGAAATGCAATGGTGAAACTAAAAGAAATTTGTCAACATAAAATTCTGTAACCAGTACTAATATCCTTCAAAATTGAAGGCAAAATAAAAACATTATAAAATAAACAAAAACTAAGAGAAAGTCAGATATTTGAGACAGAGTGAAGAATGCCAGAAATGGGAAAATATGTAGGTAAGTGTAAAAGACTGATTTTTCTCTTCATTTCTTTAAAACATATGTGATTGTTTAAAAATCAT